TTTTATAGGAGTGAAAGATTTGAATTGACTGATCAGTGAATATTGACCAATATTATACTGTTCTGATTCTTAGTACTGATCGAATTCTATGGATCACGATGCATGAGATGTTTAGTCATTGAGACTAGTAACTGTTATACGGATTGATTTGTTTAACAACAAATACTAGACAAATACGTTATTGATTACTACTTATTGATCAATCAACAGTAGTTTCTCTGATATTAATTCTCATTGTAGATTGATAACAGTTGAATAACTAAAGAAAACTAAATAACAACCGATAGCTTCTTCATCCTAGTCTAGTTTAGTTATCAGTAATCACCATAAACCTAACACGTTCTCGTTAATAGTAAGTCTGAAGTATAAAGATTATGATTATTATCATCATCATTTAATCTAAATGGTTTCAGTGTTTGGCTTTTATTATTTCACATCATAAACCATTGATTGTCGGTTGCGTTTTTACGTGTAAAAGTACAATACTAATTAATATATAATACCTTAAAAGTACAATTTATCATGTCATTCAAAGAGAAACAACGTGAATTAAATGTAAAGGAACTAATTAGGTTTACAATGTATTAAGGTCAACTCATTTTTTTTATTGGTATACACTTTAACCAGATAAAAATTATAAAGTTGCATAAATAGTTTTTATCTTAAGAAACATGCAGCTAAAATGAATGTTTAAAGATCAATCAACAGTTTAATAAGTAGAAGGGGTTTGTGGAGATTTTAGAAATTTCACAGATTGAAATCATGAGTCAATTGAAGCTTCAAGAGATAATCCTGGAGTTCTAGTGAGAAGCTGTTACCAGAGGAGTTCAACCAGGTCTGTTGTGAGATATCAGCTCACTGAAGACAATGGTATACGGTGGCGCAACTTCGTGGATTGGTTGAAGTTAGACATTAACACCGTTGGATACAGGCAGGCTCAGTGGTCTGGTTGGTTAAGCACTCGGCGCGAGACCGGTGGGTCCTGGGTTCGAATCTCGCGGGGTGCGGGATCGCGGGTGCACACCGCTGGGGATTCCCATACTGGGACGAAACGGCCGTCCAGTGCTTCCAAGATTTCCATGGTGGTCTAGCTTCAATTGACTCATGATTTCAATCTGTGAAGTTTAATAAGTGTATAAAACCAATAAAAAAGATTTCAACAACTATATGGAACTAGTCTCATTATAGTCTTATATCTAGTGATTCTGTACTGTTTACTTTAGATTGTCTAAATATGATCAGATCAGTAGTACTTAATGATATTGTTGTGTATGCTACCTATGTTGTTGATGGACTTTTGTTCACTGAGCTGGATGGTTTGGTTACGGAGCTTTCATCGTTCTTCTGAATGACATCATCAGCACAAACTTCAGGTTGATAGATATAAATAAGTTGACAGACATAAGTAGTATGTAATACCAAACGGAAGTAGAATACCTGCCAGTAGAAGATTGACAAGATTCAATTGAAGAGAACAGATAAGGAAAGAGAAAGCAATTGTAATAATAATCATGAAGTATGTAAAAGATAACTGAAGGGAGATATGAAAATAATGTATTTAATGTATGGTTTTTATATTTTGTGAATGCACTCTGTAATTTATTATTAAACAATAAATTGGTTTCCCCTACCTAAGTTATTCGTTCACTGAAATATCATTGAGATAACTTGGGAAACGCTAGTCCATCATGATACTATTTCAACCTCAGCTGTTATATTTAGATACATAAAACTGCGAGTTTATCTAGATTTTCTACCATCTACCTTATAAGTATTTGATAACTATGTAAAATTCCCGGAAAGTGTGCTATTCGGATTATGATTACTTCAGGATTGAGTTAGTAGTTGATTGATTAAAACGATTTATTTTCGGTCATTGTATTTTGGGTTTGAATCCTGGTCCTCCCCTCGTTTCAGTTTTCGGTGATTGTTTACTTTGATGAGATTTCATGTAAGAAGTGTCACTCAAAGTCAACCATGTATAGTTAATAAGTTGTGCTTTCTAAAGGTTCTTAACAAATCTCTTTGTTCTATATGACAATTAAGTCAATTTTCACAGATTGAAATCATGAGTCAATTGAAGCTAGACCACCACGGAAAACCTGGAAGCACTGGGCGGTTGTTTCGTCCTAGTATGGGACTCCTCAGCAGTGCACGTCCACGATCCCGCCCCCCACGGGATTCGAACCCAGGACCTACTGGCTTCGAGCGCGATCACTTGACCATTAGACCACTGAATTGTATGGAAATCGAAACCTTTAAACCTTCGAAACCTTCACTATTTACTATTGTTTCGAAGATGGCATCATTAAGTGGTTTGCTCGTAACCATTTAAATGATCTTCTTATTCTACAATTATAGAAGATCACTTCGCTAGACATCTTATCAATAACTATTTATTTACATTTATAAATGAACAATATGTACTAATATCGATATTTCATACTTGGGCATCTAGTTGTAAGTCAAAATGATAACTATCAGACTGTAAAATACATAATAGATCCGTCTGTATAGAGGTGCAAATAAGATTTTATAAGAATATATAAAGTACTAACTATCGGATAATGTACTTAGTATCATCATTTTTAATAACCCACTTCAATAATAGGAATGGTATTTAAATTATCGATATTTATGATGGTTGTTTTGTTGGAGACCTTGAGGTAATTTGAACTGGTTTTGATTAATAGAACTCTGTAGTTGAATTCAGTTGGCATTGCATGTATGCAAGATGAAAGAATATAAATGTGGAAAGTAATGCTCGCTTACTAATTCCTAGTTTTCGGAAAGTTCTCTATTTGACATCAACTGGTGAATAATCTAACATTCAAAGTATCAACAACTCTATTAGAATGGGGGGTTTGTGGAGACTGTAGTGATTTTTAATAGTTGAGTTCATGAGCCGATCTATGATAAACCACCATTGTAAACCTGGGCGCATTGCACGGCCGTTTCGTCCTAGTGTGGGACTCTTCAACAGTGCGCATCCACGATTCTGCACTCGGCACTCGAACCCAGGACCTTCAGTCTCACGCGCGAATGCTTAACCTCTAGACCACTGAGCCGGCCGGCATTCAACGGTGTTAATATCCAACTTCAATCGACCCATGATCTTGCACAACCATTCATCCATTGTATAAAATAGATGCCTGTCTCTGCCCGACAGGTTTCCAATGGTGCTCTAGCATAGATAGACTCATGAATTCAGCTGTTAAAACATCAACATTTCGTTATTATTTTACCAATTTAAGTGTGTATCTGTGGCTACACACGCATAAGAAGGAGGAATTGTGATCTCCAAATTAGGGTGTTTGAACATTTCGCATGAACATGATACACATCCATCGTCCTCTATTGCCAAACATACGGTTGAAACAGTTCATAATATTGATCCTAACACAGATTTTGTACAAGTGTTAAAGAGCATATTTTAAGGTTTGTTGAAGCCTTGATCATGCGAAAATTTAACCCCCCTTTATTTATTCAAAAGCATTTTATTTTCACCTTAGGCCTACCATGGTAATGTTAGTTTATCATCCAGAGTGATGTGTTTCACTTTTTTTCTTTATTAATCTTGTTTCGTTTTAACTTGGACTTGTCTAGTTCACCTTCTATTTTCGATATGTAAATGTTTTAATAAGCATATATGTGACCAGATTATTCGAAATGCATTGCTGTAACATAATGGATAGTTCTGATAATCTTCTTCTTATTAATACACTATGCATATCTTTTATAACTGTCTAACTAATCTTATACTTGCCTTTAGATTGGAAAAAAATCAGCAAAAGTCTTTGTTGACAAACCGGAATCTGTATTGGATTGGAGTTAAGCTCAATCAGGAGGAGTTTTTTCTGGACCCATGTTCTACGAGATAATAAGATACTTGAATCTAAACATGGAACTTGTTCAATTTCTATATGTTCCTAGGGAATTTCTTCAGCTTTTACAATTATTAATTAGGAGCAGAGCTGTAATCGATACGAAATCAAATCTGAATGTCTCAGTTCACTTGAAAATGAAAAACACTTCAAAATGAATGAATGCAAAACTTCCATACCTTCAAATTTATAAATAAGATGGCTTAAAAAGTTTAAACTACTTATTATTCTTAATAAGTAGTCAAGTCTATGTCATACAATACGTTTACGGCATTCCTAATTACTGCTTACGTTGACTATTTATTTTTCCTCAACCCTTAGTTAGTTTCGATCGAGAACACTTGTGGCCGGTTTATGCTCCTCGAAGGGAAACAGGAGTACGTAAGCACGTTACTATAGTTAGTTAACAATAGAGGAACAATACATACATCAGTATAGTAGGCCTCAACATAAACAAGGGAAAAAGTGAGATTCTCATATACAATACGAAGAACACCAACCAATATAATCCCACTTGATAGAGAAACTCAGGAACAGGTGAAAACATTCACGTATCTGGGTAGCATCATCGATGAACGTGGAGGATCTGATGCAATCGCAAAGGTGAGGATTGGCAAAGCAATGGCCGCATTCCTACAATTGAAGAACATATGGAACTCAAATTAACTCTCAACCAATATCAAAGTCACAATCTTCAATACAAACGTCAAGACAGTTCTACTGTATGGAGCAGAAACTAAGAGAACTACCGCAACCATCGTCAGAAAGGTACAAGTATTTATAAACAATTGTGTACTCCAGATGTCCGTTGGCCGTAAACCATCAGTAACAGTGTGCTGTGGGAGAGAAAAAACCTACTTTCAGCTGAAGAGAAAATTTGGAAAAGCCGATGAAAGTGGATGGGATATATATTGTGGAAATCACCAAACTGCATCACGAGGCAATTGTTATCCTGGAATCCTGAATGGAAACAGAAAAGTGAAAGGCCAGAGAACATACAACGTCAGGATTTGGAAGCAGACATGAAAAGGATTGATTTGGACAGAGTTAGATGGTGAATGCTCCTCCACGAAGAGTAACAGGCGTAAGTAAGTAAGTAATACATGCATATATACATCACTTACTTTTTTCTTGATGATTGTCATTTGGTTTGTACCGACTGATTTCTTTGGCATATTTTATATTCTGTATGGTAGAAGAGAAAATGATCAATCAACAATTAATTGTTATGTGATGGTCAAAAGTATAAAGTTACCTTTTGAAGGTAAATAAATAAAATAAAGTGATGGGTCACTAATCACAAAACGGTTTGAGAAAATTTTAGTAAGAAGTTAAAACTGATGCATTTCTTTCACTTTGTAAGTGTAGCAGTCATCACTGACGTCATTGGAGGATCATCGTGCTATTATTATGACGTAAATTAAGTTAGGAAAGTAATCCGGTGGATCAAAACTCGATATTTTTCATGTCGATGAGTATATATCAGTCTGAGTTTTCCAACTCCGCCTGTAGTCCTTATATAGTTACTGCCGGTCCCAAGACCAAGTAAAGGAGGAAGGTTATGCATGGGGTCAGCAACCCCATACCGTAGAAAAATAATTATGCTAAAAAAATCCTAGCTAAAATAAACCACTTAAATTCTATCATCCGAGTTGAAGCATCTTCATTCAGAAGAACTATGGTGCTTCATGTTGAAAGTCGACTTTCTTCGAAAGTCATGAGGACTATGTCCTTTTTAGCAACCGTAGAAATAATTAATATAGGTACACGGAATGTCCGGACAATGTGATAGACTAAAAGGACTAATTAAATAGCTACAGAAGTGATGAGATACAAGTTGGCCGTGCTCAAAATAAGTGAAACCCATTGGACCCAAGTTGGACAAAAAAGAATAGATTCGGGAGAGATGTTGTTGTATTCTGGTCACGAAGAAGAAAATGCTCCATATATGCAAGCAGTTACTCTGATACTGTTGAACGAGGCATGAAATGCACTTATAGGACGGGAAACCCATGGATCTAGGATCATCAAAGCATCCTTCAAAACAAAGAAGGAGGGAAGGATCTGGTGTTATGTGCCCATCAATGATAGTAATGACGACGATAAAGATCAGCCTTACGAGAGGGTCCATTCGAAGAAGAATGATTCATCAAGCGATATTTAAGTGATTAACACCTTAGCTAGAGAGAGATTTGTGAGTAGACTGTCATGTGATCAGGCGTACACGTTTATACAGACAAGACGGTGCCCATAATGCTATAAAGAAATATGCGGATTGTTACTGTTCTAATAACATTGTCTGTTAAGTGAGTTAATAAAAGGGCTCAACCAAAATTAACTATGATTGGAATTGATTGTAGGAGAGTTGTTATAATCCCTAGACAAGATTAAAGAAAGGACGAACAGGAAGACTATAATTAACAACAGTCAAACATGAGCAGAGAAAATCATAACACAAGCCGAATACACAGAAGCAAACCAGAGAATGAAGAAAGGGCATTAAGCCGAACAAGCAGAAATACATTTAAGGGCTAGCAATGACAGCAGAAAAAGCTGTAAGAGAAGGAAATATGAAACAAATATATGATAAAGCGAAAAAACTTTCAGGGAAATCTAGTAAACAGGAGACTGGTCAAGTGGGTTCATCAATAGTTGTGATAACTGTATTCGGGAATCCTCTAAAAGTTGTCGAAATCTCAGCAAAATACGAAAGGATTAACTGATCTCTAGACTAAAAAAATTAGTTTAAACTTCCGAATTCGTTGAAAGGATTGTCACTATTGACTAATATAGGTCCCAAAAGTATAACATCCAGAGTGACTTGTACATTGAAAGTGTTCTGCCACAAATGAAAAGCATTTTAAAAGGTTTAATATCAATGTACGATATATTCTGTATGAGAAAGCTTTTTGTAACTTTAGTTGGTGTATTTATTGAACAAGCTACTTAAGAATTATCAGCATGAATTGTATAAACCTCAGCACCGGTAATTGTTTAGTTATTTTATTTCACCTACTTATAAATATTAAGTAGTCATCAAAATTATTAACTTTTTGTTGACAGAGATTTAAACTATAAGTGATTTGGAATATTGTGTCCTATTTTTCACTATCTGGTATCTATGTATCTTATTTCACATGAAAATAAAAAAAATTCATTCAAACACCAGCAAAAAAATTCAAACTAATTGCCATCGTGAATTATTTTCAACTGAAGAACTACTAAGAATAAGAAAGCTTTACTTGGTTGTTTTATCTTTACTTCCGTGTACTTTAACGGTGTCCTTTAACAGTGCATCAAATCTGAAGCCTCAAGATTTGACGATGAGCACAAATAAGGGAGTTTGGGTCGCACAGCTTATGTATTTAAATGCACTCAGTTTATGATTTGGTGTGGTACACATCAAATGTTATTCATTGTTCCTTTCATTTTTAAGTTGGTAGATGCCACTACAACACCACTCAAAAAATTTATTTCACAGCTAATGATTTTACTGGAGCTATTTATTTCTTGTGCATTTGATGTAAATAAACAGTTTTATTCACTAAACGGAATCAACTGAAAATTCATCGAGAACTTAAAAAGCTCGTTTGGCTTTTGCCAACTTACGTAATTTATGGCGAAGGCGAGATATCCGTATATCAATTAGGGAACGCGTATACTGCGCAGTGGTTCGTTCTGTTTTAATTTATGGCTGCAAAACGTGGCCACTAAGAGAGGAGATATTGGTACACTACTAGTATTTGACCACAGATGTCTTAGAAATATTTCTCGCATCTACTGGGATCACTGGGTAAGTAACAGTGAGGTTAGACAAAGGGTATTAGGGAATGATGGTAAACCAGTTGATGAGGTTGTAACTCTTTGTCGCTTAAGATGGTTGGGCCGTGTGTTGCATATGCCTGAACACCGGTTAACACGACGCGCAATGTTGACTAATGTTGAAGATGACTGGAAGAAAGTTGGGGGCGGCCAAACCGAAACTCGGCATCAGTGCTTGAAGTCACTAAATTCTAGTCTGAGCCATGTTGGTAGATGCAGACTACTTGGTTGGGGTCGGCGTGACTATCGTAACCAATAGTTGGAGACTCTTGGTGACATGGCGCAAAATTGATCACAGTGGAGTAGGTGTATACACTCTCTCTCTTCCCATTAAACTGTGAGATTAAAATCCCTTCATATCTTTCTTTCTACCAACTAATTCTTTCTTCCTGTACTATATTCTGATACACAACCTTTCTTTAATACATTACTACCATTGAAGTGAAAACAGTGATGAATTTGGTGTTCATTTCGTTGTGCTAACGCAGTATGGTAACTTGAACCGATGTATATATGTGTCTGATTCTACGTTGTAGCTGACTGATTAACTGACCGAGAAACGATTGAATAATAAAAAAAAACAACCATAGTAATTTGTACCCACAAAATGACACAAAGCTGAATTTAAGAATCAAAAGGTCCTTTAATCTGAATCTGTTACAGCTCACTGTCACATTTATATCAATTTATAACAACATGTTTCCTAAACAACAAACATCATTGATTACTAATTGTTGCTAAGGTATTGTTTAGATTTGTATTTCAATTAAAATAGGGAACATCAATATTAACTTAAGACATATTACTTACATTATTTGTAAATGACCATTGATCCGGTAATAAGTTACAAATTATTTTATTTTTTTGTCTAAACATTGAATGAAATTGTTTATTCTGTTGATTTCTATATTGAATTGGATTAGTATAATCATATGAATTTAGTGAAGAACATGAATTGGCTGGTGAAACATTCGGTGTTTTAGTGAATATTGGATGATGTGATGGAATATTGTTCATAGAATCAAAATGATCAATTGAAGATGTTGACATTAAATTTGAAAGTTTAATTTTATGTATTTTTAATTGAATGTTAATGTGATGTGAACTACTTATATCCACATAAGTAGTATGAAATGATAGTCAGAAATAGAATGTATTTCAGCAGAAGATCAAGAAGGAACGAACAGGAATGGAAAGTAATTGGTATGAAAATGCATGAACAATGAAATCTGAAACGATGGACTGAGATTTTCCAAAGGAACAATGAAGTTGGAGACAATGGATTGATATTTTGCAAATTGACGATTTACTGTATGGTTCTCGGATTTTAATAGTACCTGTGTTCAGATACATTTGATTGTCCCCACTGGTATTTTTGTTCACTACAGTACTATCCTCATTAAACAGTTGATTATATTAGGTTAAAAACCTTAGCTTGTTGTTTACATTACACATATATTTATAAATAGATTCATGTTTGGATTGTATTGTTATGGTGACCAGGGCATATTCTTATTTATGGATTAGCTAGGCATCATGATTCAAATTATGCTTTAACCTAATTTCATTTACCATTGATTAATATATTCTGATTAACACTGGTGACAGAGTTGTGTAGATTTACATATCTGTCTGTGGAACATCAATTTTTATTAATTAAATCTTACGATACATGAAAGACTCATAGTGTACCATAGATTTAATATATTTTATTTGAAATATGCATTAGAATCAATGTAGTTTCAGTATTTTGGAAATAATAATCTCAAATGATTTGAAAATAGTTTCATAATTGATTGATAACTGGGTGGTGATCAACGTCATGTGTGTCAAGTCGTTATTTAGTGCAGATCGAATGCTCTCTGACTGTGAAGTTGGGTGACACGGGATCGAATCCGTCAAGGAGCACCAGTTCCCTCAAGATTACAGGTACACCTTGCTGACGAGTGCCAAGTAGCACGAAACTCGGGTCCAGGGTTTCCTGTCGACTACCTCCAACCACTATCTAATCTCAGAATAGTTTCATATATATCCTCATTATTTGTGGTACGGAAATTAATTGAGCAGAATTATGTCGACTGGTTAATCATCATGTGCTCGCTAGTGACTAGTGTCAAGAGTTCTAATGAAGTTTAACCATTTTGTTGGAGCTTTGTCCTCTGAGTTGGATGATTTGATCGTGGAGTTTTCATCGTTCTTCTCAACGGCGAAAGATATGAAGCGATTTTAATCTCTTAGTTTAAGGGAAGACAGAGAGTGTATACACCGACGCCAGCAATAAAACAACTGTAGTTAAAATTTATTATTCACATTTAGGATCCTGTAATAATGAATGATTTTCACATCTTCTCCCTTCGTACCACTGAAATCTGTTATTCAATCATGTAAACAATTCTGGAAACGATATAATGGTATACTAGTCCGTGATTACATTCGGTCAATTAGATATTGATGAAGTATGAATGTAATTTTGAATTATATAAAACTGGATTTGAAACTCAACTGTATTCATATTTGGATGGATATAAGACAATAAACTGTAGGGTCAGTGAAATGTCACTGAGCCCTAGCCAAATCATCCGGCAGTTGGGTTACTGTATATCGGACAGATCATCAGTCCCCGTCAACATCAAGGACAACCAACGCGCATCAGATAATCGTATGTCATGGACTAGCGCATGCAGTGATGGTCTCGCTATCTTCTCTGTACTCATTCTTACTAGTGTATTTCCATAATAACGTCCTTTGTTTTATACGGATTTCAGAGGAACCATAGTACTTTGATACATCGAAGGGGTAATCCACGTTAGGTACTGACCCCGAGGTGTGACTTTGAAGTTAACTGATTTGTCACACCGTCCCCGTCTAGCTCGAGTAGGTCTCCAGTCATTCGACAGAGACCATCAATGTTGGTGATGTACAAAACAAACGTACTAGAAATGAGATAGCCTGCACCTCTTTGATTGTAGTAAACCTATTATATACGAGATCGAGAATCTTAGATTTTTGGCAGTACCAACAGAGCAAATGTTCAGCTCAAATATTTAGATGGTATATTTAGTATCATTAAGAAAACATTCTTGAGGACATTCTCCAAACTTATAAATAAATTTTCTGCCTATATGACATTCCCATTAAGAGATGTACTATGGAGAGCCAGTCTAATGTGAAGGTGACCTAAAGGACAAATACATTTCACTGACTAAGAAACAGATCAATTTTTTAGGGATAAGACTGGTGTATATATATAAATAAGTATTTGTGCATTTTATTCAGTAGCCCAATACAATTTCTCTCTCACTCTTGTGTTCTCGTTGAAGTAGTCAGCTGAGGGTTAGGACGTACCACACCGTGTATCAGTATCTGATTCCAGACACCGCACGTTATAACAAAACTCTTTATCTAACTACCTACAGTAAAGCAATAAATTCACAGCAGTGTGTACAAGGCTTTAAATAAACCAATTCATTCAATGCCTTACTATCTTTGACTTTTAATGTATTCAGACGAGCTACTAAACTTGTTACAACGTAAGATGAGTAAAACAGATAAAAGACTGTAACTAATATCTTGCAATTTAATAATTTACCATTGAATACTATTAAGATTGTTCTGAAACACAAGTACTTGTTGGTAAATGAAAAGTAGAAAGAAATATCATAGCTTATCATTCTAGTTTGTCTTACTTTCATAGTACAAGAGAACTACAATAGATGGTGAAACATAACTCAGTTACAGCATTTTTGTTATATCTAGAGCTTAGATTCCTGCTATACTGCGTACTACTTGAGCAATCGAGAAACAGAACCCTCCAAGTCTCAAGTGAGAAGACAGACGACGAGTGAGAAGGAATGTTATTCCAAACAGTGTCAAATATGGTACAGAACTCACAGATATTTATAGTTTTTAGTAAAAACGAATTAATTATTGCAGTCATCCAATTCGTATGAATGCTTTTTAGCATTTGTTCAATCCGGAAGCTACACGTTAAGATCCTGGAATGTTCTTTCAAAAGATGACTGTTTGAAATGTCTTCAGCTCTTTCTGGGCTTCTTAGATATTCCTTGAGTTCACCCGGGGTCCGTTCTTACAGTTCTATAAAGCAGCTAATATTTTACGAAGTGCCTTAGCTTCAATAAATGAAAAATTCCGCTTCACATCCAAATTAAATTGTGTCAACAAATTAGGTTTATTGGCTGATAGAGAGTAAAATTATAGTTAAATTCATGAATCAATTTAAGCTAGACCACCATAGAAAACCTGGAAGCACTGGACGGCTGTTTCGTTCTAGTATGGGACTCCTCAGCAGTGCTCATCCACGATAATAATTGTTTAACACAGCTAATGGATTTCAGTTAATTAACTAAGGAGTCATATGGGTGGATACTAGTGGCATTGTATGGTGGTTGCGCAATATCGTGAATTGATGAGTGTTAGAAATATAAACCACCAGTTATCAGTCAATTGGTTTAAAAGTTAAGTTCCAGTAGCGAAACGTGAAGGTCCTACGCTCAATTCCTAATGTAATTGTGAATATCCATTACCAAAGTGTTCGATACCAAAACAAAACAACTGTTCACTGCTTAGTGGTTTTCTATGGTTGCGTAACTAAAGTCAGTTGAAGATGTAAACTATCAAATTATGTATCAATCAATCAAATTTGTACCACATACGATTTAGTTATGTACAGATTTTGATTTTTTTTATTTGTGATTTCTTGTAGTCATTGTACTTGTGGGATTTTGAATTGTTAGTATATCCCAAAGTCGTTGGGAAGGAATTGAGTTTAAGTGACATCATACCATGACAAGAATGATTACACAAACTTAATCAAACTGGTTAAACAATCAAAAGACTTTAGCACCAGTTTTTAATTAGTAAAGTAAAAGAGTTTATAAGTCAGAATGTTAATAATTAGCTAATTACATAATAGACATTATATTCAATTTATTCTGATGTATTCTGTAAACGATCATGTAAATTACATCTGAGATTATCTTAATGTTAGATTACGAATATGTTCTTCTAAATGTGCATACGTATTTGCATCATAAAATAAGGTATATGAATTAAATAACTGGATACGAAGCGCTCGCACGAGAGACTGATAGGTCCTGGGTTCGGAGCTTGCTAGGCGGGATCGTGGATACACACTGCTGAGGAACCGCACAATAGGACGAAACGGCCGTCTAGTACCTCCAGGTTTTTCATAGTGGTCTAGCTTCAATTGACTCATGATCTCAATCATTGAAATTACTACAATATCCATAAAAACCCTTCTGATATGAATTAACATATGCTCACTAGTGATGGTCTCCAAGAAGTAGTTTCGGCAAATTTCAGAAGACTTAAGTTCGATTGTTTATTAATCACCTTGAAAGATTTCACTTGATGTCCTGTATCATGAAGATTAATCGATATGGTACTACTGAATGCTTTTAGTTTGCTCGATCTTAAACTTTTTGGATGTAGGCTCTTCCTTCTGTTCTGCCAATGTATTTGCTTTGAAAGATACATACCAATTTCTATACACAGATGTTGTTAACATGAAAGGAATACCTATAGATCTTTGATTGCGTTAAGGAACATGTTGTTTTGGACAAAAACAATCATTGAAAAGTTTCAGCAGATTTTTTGCATGTTGTTACATATGATGAAGGTTTTATCAATAAACCTCGAGTAATACATAATTTTACCAATCGCTTGAGCTTAGCTCTTTGGAGATTAGCCATGAAAATATTTTCTAGTACAGGGCCTAACGTAATTCCCATTGCTATACCATCAGTTTGATTTCAACTCATATCTCTCTTTATTACCATTAATCTGTTTGTTTATTTCTTAAGTTACTTCATTACACAATTATCTAATATTAGGTAACTCTATGAGTTCAGATCACACTAGTTCAATGTTCTTGAACTTTCCCTCTCAAACTATATTTATTATTTATCTGAAATAAAAATTCTTTATGACCTTATTGAACTCTATTGGAATCTTCACTACATCATGATATACATATT